AACATCTTCCAAGTCTTGTCGCGTGTCGCCCCGAGGCTTAACCTCCTCAGTTGTGATGGCTGCGTTAGATAGATATAGTCACCCACCCACATCAAAATCACTTTGAAATCTGCCCCCCAATGTGTCTTGACTCGCCTTGCACATGAAATTTATTTCCGTTACGCTGTTCAGATCGAAAGAAAAACAAACTTGTCATTTAAATTTCCGACAAGTTTTGCCAACTCCCAGCCCATGTAGTCATAATTCTTCTGAATTGTCTCACAGTCTTGGCGTTGACCCACTGAAGCGCAACGTTTTGATAACCCTGCTGGGGCTCTTCTTCGATCGGGTGGTGTAAAGAGCAATTGCTTTTGCTGCACACTGGTCCTATTTTAAGACAATGTGACGACCATATGGCAGTTGTCTCGTCTGTACAGTGTGTCTGCCACATCTCTCCAGTTGTGGCGATGCTCCAGAACAACCACATGTTCTCACAATGCCCAGCCGCCCTATTCGAATATCTGGCTATGTTTATTTTTAAACACATTGCGAAATAAATTGCCGTTTGTTTTGCTGCTATATACATACATATGTACGCCTTCGATATTTTCCATATTGAAAAACGTTTTTAAATTTAGCGCAACTATAATATACCTAAATATACATATATACATACAACCAAATATATACACCCATATACACATACTATATATGAATGTGCTTTTGGCCATTTGTTGCTGTTTCCCACTGACCATAATTTGCTGCCAAAAAGCGCGTCACACCTTAATAAATTTTCCCTAAGCAACTTTTTATATAACTCATACAATTTTCACTCAACATTTTATATTGCGACTCTATTTCTTTCTCTGCCGCACTCTCACTCTTTCTCTCACACTATCTCACCATCTCTTAATCACTCTCTTGGCATTGGCCCAGTTACAGGTGTCTTGGCGGGCCACCAACAAACATTTGAACTTTTCGCGCTTTCATCGCAGCGAAAAATCAAAGAACGAATATTTCTGTTTGAACATTTTTGTTTTTGTTTTTTATTTATTTTTTTATGTTTCGTTTTCATTGATTCCTGCTGTCTGGTCCGTGAGTTGTACTTGTATTCTCGGATGTGCTAATCACTGCTTATCATCTTTTTGTTGGACATTGTTTATTCGTATTTAGCGCGCCAGTGGTGGTCAAATACTTTAGATTGTGGGGGGAGAACACTAGGAATCGATAAAAATAGTTTGTTTGACTTGTAGTTGTGGATATGATTGTAATCAAGTTAATAAGGGGCCAAGGGGGAAAACTGATCATTTCTGATAATTTTACAGATGTATATTTTAATTACAGTGAGGCCAGTCCTTGCATAAATTAGCTTGCTGCCATTTTTTACATTCCTCGATTCCTAATTCTATAATAGTGATCGCTTGTAATAGCCAAAAAAAAGTTACCTATTACTGAAGCTGTATTTGGCATTTTAAATTTAATATTAAGAATGTTAGACGAATATTTTCATTTTTAAAAGAATGGAATCAAAACCGCATCAACAACATTAGTTATTCTTAAAAAATCATTAGCAATACATTACTTACTTGCATAAATAGGGAGTTTTTAAATATCCTGAATGTCTCACCATTCTTTAAATTTTTCGAAGGCGTCCTGCAACCAACATATTAAATATTATTTAGAAAAGGGCATTCAAGAATAAAATTCTTCCATGTAGATGACAGCTCATCCTTTTTCGATGATATTTAGACAATTTAAAAAGTTTTTCATTGATTATGAAAAACATCAATGGCCCCTTTTCAGAGAATGTAACGTCTTTAACGGTTTTTCAGTTTGGTATTGAAAAACTGCATTTGCTTACATTTCATTGCATTAATAGTAGGTTTTCTAGTTATCGGAATGTGTTATCATTATTTACTATTTAATAATTGAATTAATATAATATAATATTGAATTAACGAGGGATGGACAAGATCAAAATACTATTTATTTGAATGACCCATTCATGAAAATAAAACGCCAGATTAAGACTTAATAAAACTATCAATAAAATTTAGACAATTTAAGAAGCCAGAACTAATTATTGATAGCATAGTCCTTAAATTATTTAAATTTGGTTTTGGAAATCCTCCATAGTCTTAAAATAGTTTTCAATCATTACATACGAAATGTCTCACTGAATTATTCCAAGCTGGTGAATATCAATATTTTCTCATTTTTAAAAAGAATAAGAGATTGAAAGAAGTTTAGTAATAATCATGTTTTCCACAACAATCGACCACCAAATAGTTCTGAAACACTTTGTACTATATAACTAAATTCTATTTATATCAAACCGCAACTATTTTTACCGTCCCAGTTATTTACGAAGAAATCAATTTAAGTTGTCCCTCAACGACTTTATTATTATTTCCGATATGTAGAAAATTATATCTATATATCAACTATATATATGTGTCAATTGTTTTGCCTGTCAAACCGCACCCTTTCCTTCTGAGCTTCCAGTCAATATTTGCATGCCATTCGGCCATTTAGTGTTCAAACAAACGTTCTGGTTACTTGGCTTGCCTTCTGACTTATCCAATCCGACCTTGCCTGCCACTTTGTTGCTTTTAGCCAAATTGTGGTCCCAAAAGAATACAAACAACATAAAATTTGATCAAATATATAAAACGGTGTGGCATACATACGTACATATATGTGATATTTCATGCCTTCGCGCGAATTTATTTCTCTGCTTGTTTTTTGTTTTTTTGACTAGTTCGACTAGTTCGTCCCACGAAATGTACTATACAAACGCCGATTTTAGTGTGTAGTCGTCGTCATCGTAGTTGTTGTTGTTGTCAATGGACGGTCGTTGCCGCTCATAGTGGTTGCCACTTTGGTCCCAGAGTTGGGGAAGTGTGGGTGTCATAAACACTTTTTGGGTAGCCCCATATCGATTGAGTTTTCATGCAACGGCTTTTGCTTTAATTTGGTCACATTTCTAAACTGATTTGCTGGACAGTCGGTTGTCGGTTGAGTTGTTGCTATTGCTGTTGCTGATTGGTATTTAAAAAGTCGTTACTTATTTAGTTGTCGCTGTCGTTTAGCAACTAATAAAGTAAAAGAGGCGTAAAGGTGCTCTGCTTAGAAACAACAACGAGCAACAAGAACATTGAACCGTCCATACCTCAACGTCGACTTCGATTTTGGCCATATTTGTGTATATAGCAAGAGATGTCTTCAAAACTGATATCATCATCGTTTCACAGTTCGCCACTCAACGATTGTTTTAAAGTGGGCGAGTTCGAAAGACGTTTGGGTAAGTCTGAAAATGTTGGGGTGGTGTGTTTGAAACGACAACTAATGAACCGATTGAAAAACACTGAAAATAGATAAATATTGATAAGCTTTATGGACCAGGGTCAAGGTTAGCTACACAAGCTTCCAAAAGTTCACAAGCTAAGGACAAAACTTGTAATCTTTAAGCTTCAACTTCGAAAGCCATTGAGCTCGTCGAAATATACTTAGCTGTTTAATGATATAATACAGTATTATAATCCGAGCATGTATATAGTACAGTAAGCTTAGAAAAATCCATTTTCAATGATCTTGAAATAAAAAATGTGTAAAATATGGCTGCACATCTGATGCTTTAAAGCAATCTATGAATTCACTTCTAAATATAGACACATTCGTAAATAGCTACTAAATTAGACATTTGAATAAAGTGGCAATTGATATTTTAATATACAGGTAGTAATAATTCCTGAAAATAGTTTAAAGTTTGAAAAGAAATGCCTCATATATGATTTATCTTTTTAGCTGTACTGGAATTGTAGATATTCTTCTGGAATTGTAGATATTCATAAAAATTCGCAACATTGATAAAGAAATGTTATGAAATATAAAATTTGCCTTGTCAGTAATGACGATTTAAAAATATATCACGGATATAACCTTTTTAATAAGCTAACTATCTATACAGTATCTCTTTTAATATCCCAAATTTAACATTCACTTTAATTGGTAGACTCGTAAAATATCAGACTAATTTTCACTTAACTGCTTCACAGCAACGAAAAGAAAGAATATGAAAACATATCGATAACTTAGGTTTCGTAGTTGAGCATATGAACTAAGTCTTACCAATTAAATCACTTTCACAATATGAGCAAACTCAAATTATTGAATAGCGTGAAAGTAATATATCGATTATTACATATTACATATATATCAGAAATGTAAATTACCATCTACTACTCCTTCTTTTTATCTTCAATTATACAAATGTTGACAACTCTAAGTTTTTATATTCTTCATTGAGTCTTCCTAGCTGCGGCTTTAAATTTTAACAGAATCTTTTGCACTTGTGCCGATCCCGAGTTGACCTGCAAGGGAATCATTCCTAAATATATATTGATTATTACAATTTTAGCTAATTCTCCCCATAGCCCCCATAGAGGAGACTATTTGTTTTAATATAAATCTAGCCACCTCTAAATTCTTATATACAAGACTCAAGACTTGCCATCTTCTGTTTAGAAATCTTACGCATTCTCCTGCAGCAGTTCCGAACCAATGTTGACTCGCTTTCAATCCCTTCTGAATTAATATTCAGATTTTAGCTCGGACTTGCCCCGAAGTGTTCCCAGCCATTACACTAACCCAAAAGAATATCAGTTATGACAACAACCACTGCAGAATGTGTCTTCACGTCATATCGTGTGTCTCTGTCTGATAAGAGCAAACAAAAGTTGTGAAAAGTTAGCCTTATCTGCAGCCATGGCACGAAAAAGTGCCGCTATGAGCCAAGTAAGAGTAATGTCGTCGGCAGTTATCATCGGGCTATGCGTCAGAATTGTTTGCATTCAAAGAGAATTTTATTCAAAATTTAGATTAATAGGGCGGGTATCATGGCCAAGTCGGGCGACTATGACAATTTAGGTGCTGAATACCTATGTCCAAGATATAGATACTCGTATAATCGTATAAGGAAATAAATATAACTTTGATTTCCAATTTTAATATACTTGCAGATGCATTGCTAGCCGATTTGCAGAACAGTGTGCCGGGACAGCAGCAACATCAGCCCCAATATGGCACCGTGCAGTCCAAACATTTGCCCCAACAACAACACCAACAACACCAACATCAACAACATCAGCAATCACAGAACTTTGTGGACAGTACGCCCGGTTACGGTAGCTTGAGAGGCAAACCGCAGCCACAGCTGGTGAGTCCGCATTAATTCAATAGTCATCTATAAATACTAATTTCTTTACATTTCAATTTGAATAGTATCAGGAGCATTATAGCGTGGAGACGCGCTCCCCCACTGCTGACTTAATTGGCCCTAGTCAAAACAATACCTATCAGAATCAAAGCGCCGGTTCACTGCCGCGCAAAGCCCCGGCATATAACAACGGCCAAGGTAACTCGGGATTATCCGAGCTCGAGGACTTGCTGCAGGACTTGCAGAATGCGCGCTACAACAATGGTGTGGAAAAGAATGGTAAGCTCTAGCGAAACGGTGTATCTAATTTACGAAATTTACTTATTGAGAAAGATTATAATTTAAAAATAACTAAAGGCAAGAAATTGCGAGTTAGATAATACATATAGAAAAAACATATAATACAACAAAAATATAATTTAAATGGAAATGGCGATTTCCTTGAATATGCTTTCCTCTGTTGATTGCATAAAATATATTTTCATAGCTTTAGAAGTATTACATAATACATGTACTTTAAGATTATTTGTTTGTAACTTTTTCAAATGGGTCATTCGATTTTGAAATTATAATTTCAATGAAGCTAAAAACTTCTTAGTCAATTCAATATTTTTTGAAGGTTTATAAACCACATAAACAATATACTTTTATAACAAGTACGGGGAAAAGAATACCATTTTAGACTTTCTGAAGTTATGTTTCAGAGACTTTTAATTGATTTTTTAAGGAATCTCTTTTTTTATACCCCTTTAACCAAAGGGTTTAAAGATGTACTACATATTAATGCAAAAATTAGGGATTACGGTGTAGCTTTACAACTTTGAGAAGCCAAATCGTTTGTAGTAAAAAATTTGGTAGGGTTTGGATTGAAATGGATCGCGTTAATACCTTTTGGGAAACGATAATTAGAAATACCGAAAACAAGAGTGCGGGCCTTAGGGCCTTGCTATATAAAACTTTTTAAATAAGTACTTCTACTTCTTAAAAAAGATTATATGGTATAATAGATTATTGTTTTCTATAATTCTTAAATTGTTTTTAAGGCATTCATTTTTTGTTAGTTTCTTTGCTTATGCATATTGTAATAAGATTATATTAATTCACAGCATTCTTTAACAAATTTTACCAAATTTTTTATAATATTTAATCCAAAAAGAACGTAAGACTATAAGCTATAAATTTTGCTCACACATAATCCTATTAAAATATTACCTTTTTTTGAAACAATTAAGAAAAACTTGTTAACTATTTTGATAAAAAAAAAGCAAGAAGCACAGCCCGTAAAAATATCGTTTAAAGAAAATTCAAAAACAATCTGTTAGGGTCCTTAAAATATGGATACTTAATCCTAAAGCATTAAAACTAGTTCAATTCATTAACACATTTTCCCTTTCGTTTCAGCAACTGATGTTGATGTGCCGTACAGCACACCCCACTCGAAATATAACACCTATAATAGCTATGCCTCTGTCGGCGAGCGTCCATCAATGGACAGTTTGCTAAACGAAATGGATAACTCGCACATTTATGCTGTGCCCAATGGGTAAGTGAGCGATTGTTTTGCGCTTAACAGCAATTCTAAATATTTGCTCTGCTCACAGCTCTGCACAGAAATCCCCAACACCCGGACGTCATGTTACCATTACCGTACGCGAAACTAAGACCGAGAAGCTGTCAGGGCCCGATGGTCCAGGTATTTACACAACTTACACACTTATCTCCGGTCAATGTTCTTAATCTTTCTATATCTTCACTCTGTTTGCAGTTGGCTCTATTGAGGAGAAAATTGTGCAGCAAAAAGATTCATATACGCCCAACTTCGGTGCACCCCCTCAGCATCAGGCCTATACGTCGCAGGCCACTAGGGAGTTGGATGATTTGATGGCTTCGCTGTCGGACTTTAAGGTGAGTCCACCACGTCGAAGCAAATAAGTGTCAGGTGTTTGTTGAGGGATTTACTCTGCTGTCAGACTAGGAAGTAAAGGAATTATGGGATATACTTGTTTTCTGATAAGAAAATGTGTAAGAATTATCTTGTATTAACTGGCAGTGGGGCCTGTATAGAGATTCTTATAGAAATGTATGTATAGCTTTTGCTAGATGGTTTAAAATGATAACTAAAGAGGGTGTATTTTCTCATCATAATCTGATTGTGAATATTGGAGTTTAGACATACGCTCAAAGTCTACAAAAGTCAATTGGAAATATGGTTTCTTCTATCCTAAGCAGTGCTATATTGATTGAAATACTGTCCCTTATTAACAACATTATGGCTTATGTAGAGTATAGTAATCTTGAAAGATGTAATGGAATTAAAATTGTTTGAAGCTCGGAATATTTTGGAACTTTAAAACAGCGCTATAGTTATCAAAATGGCTTAGGTATCAATCGAAACATTCGTTTAAATCGAGGTAATTGTCTATATAAGAGAGTAAATAAAACTACACTATTTTTAAAACCTTTCGTTTGCAATTCGAGATCTTTTGAACACAGCTTTCCTGTCATTCACAAGATTCCTACCATTCAATAAGAGCTAATTGTTATTGAACACTATAGAAATGTATAAAACAATAGAATTCACAGAAATCCCTTTCCTATTTAATAAAAAAAATCTATTTTAGATTGCTTCTCATTCCTGTTAAATATAACGAACGTCGTCCCTGGCAATCACATTTTTATGCAAAGTTCAGACGGCTATCAATCGCTTTTGTTAACAAATATTGGAAAGATAAGAATCTTATCTTACATTTGCGGACATGCAAAGTTTATAATCAATAAAAAGCATAAAACAAATTAAATGTTCAGAGACGCTGCATTTCATTTCCAACCATAATTATTAACAAAATGTATGCCTTTCACATTTATTAACTTTATAATTTATACACATTTGTGGTCAGATTTGTTTATGTTTTAGAGTTGAATGTAATTTGTCAAAATTTTACAGAGCAGCAGAAGAATTTGATTCTCTTAGGAGAATCTGGATATCAAGTGTGGTTATTCTAGCTCTAATACTTACTTTCTTAAGTCCTTTATACTGAACAAGAATATTTATATTTTGTGCGTTACGCTTATACCCATCGGGTACAGGCTTTAGATGCATCTCTGACTCTATGAAGTATATACATATGTACTTTTAATCAGCATAACAAGACAAATTAATCTAGATATGTCCATCCGTCTGAATGAATGCCTAGATTTTTCTAATCTTGAGAATACTCGTTGAAATCCGACCCAATAAAAGTTAAAAACGTGTCCACCTCAATTTTTTTAAAGTTGGTAACATTCAAAAATTGGATTTTGGAAGAAATTTGTAACACTAGTTTGAGTGCAAAACTATATAAGCAGTATTCCCTACAAAATTAAGTTTCTCAAACACAATAATCGATGCCTCGACGATATATTGCAAACATTTCTATCCTTCTCCCCATTTAATATCAAAATTGGTTATTTACATTCATTAAGTTATTGATTCTGGGATTGTAATTGATGGAACCTAATTTCATCTACCCAGTCCTGGCTATACGATAGGATAAGAAACTATTTTTCAAATGTATGTCAAGAAGTAAGTGATATTTCAATGCGATGATATAAAAGAAAAGATTTATAATTAAGTTGAGATTTGATTTTGAAAGGACTATTCGTTATCAGTTATAGTTATCAGTTAAAACCAAGTATAGATGCTACCTAACTTTAACCAAATCATCTAATATTGCTGCGATTTGGACAGAACAGACAAATTTGTAGTTAACATCAATATCTGTATAGTTTGGAATTTTAAATGCTAACTATTGAGTTATCTATTAAGTTGTCTGAAACATTTGATGTTGGCTTCATAATATTAAGTTAATATTATTAACTCTACATAGCTACTGCTGTTACACATTTTTAAATTGGATTTTTAGAATACAATTTACAATTTACATTTTCAATTAATTTTGAAAACACGGCCACTTTTCTAATTAAGCACATTATTCTGAGAACGCGCATGCCGCCATTTATTCTACTTATATCAATGAGATTGCCATAGGCACAATATACTAAGTATATATGTATATACATATCTGTTTTGCACTTTTACAAAAGTGTCCACCATGTGGGTAACAGGCAGCTGGCCAAGAGTGTTCCTTCGATTGTCGTCAAGACAAATCACATGTGCCATAATCTTGTACGTCTGCACATGTTTTCTATAATTTTTGTCTGTTTTCGACGCCATTTCCTCAAACAGTGTGTGCTTTATATTTAGCGCAAGGAGCTTGAAACGCCCCAACGTTTTATTATATTGTATTTTTGAACTTGGCGGTAATAAAAACTATTAAATAAACAAATTTATCATCGCAAATCGACTGACGCATGTCTCTCAACCAAAGCCCGAAGAACAAATGCCCTTCGCTATCAATTGCCAGCAAACCACCTCCTCCACTATTCACACCTAGACCTCGTACTGCTCTTGACTTTGACATGCGCGCCATGTTATTAGAGTTGAGGTGAAATTTTTATTAGATGCATAAATTTTCTAGTCTAATGGTCTCAATTATAGACTGAACACATTCGCTTTTATTTATGATCTTGAATTATTGTCAAATTTTAACGATTTATTGCACACGACGGCCCGGTCAATTTTTAGACTAGGTATTCAAAAATGTTATTGGAGATTTTGCACAGTTCTTCACCGCCAAAAAAACAAACAAACAAAGCAATTTGCCTTTAAAAGCATATTAGGTATTATTATTACTATACATTTATACACAGATGGTCAAAACATTAAGCGCACTTCTAGTTTTGTTAGTTTTTACTGAACAAAATAATGAATATTCCTTTTTATTTATATCCAAAAACAAATTCAATGTACAGCAAAATATTTATTATCTATATAAATGTTTGGACAAAAATTAGGTACTTTCAAAATAAAAATGAATACATTTCAAATTTAATCGGTTTTTTTTTGGAGTACTGGGTTTTTGTAAGTTTTCGCTAAAGTCTTGTAACAAGTATTTGAATAAAATCCCATGACTGATCCTTCGAGTCGGGCCAGTCCAGCAAGTTCACTTTTTTGCTTTTAAGCCAATCCTTAAACGGCTTTATGCTGAGCACCATTATGCTGTTGAAATGTCCCCTGAAGGGGTATATTTTCTTCAGCAGTATGTTCGGCACAATGCTATTTCCAAAAATGATATTGTATTATAATTGAATAAATTTTGTTGTATTGGACCGATACTGTGCCGTACGAATGAAAATAGAGTGAAAATAGAATTAATTCTATTTTGGATGTGTGAAACAAATTTTTGTCTCATCGCTTCAAAAAATTATTTCCCATCTTTTTCAACCGTGTGGTTCAGAATGATTTATTAGAAAGTCGAGCCGTACCCCCAACTGTTGAAGATATTAAGACATATAATTTAATTTGTTGCAGCCGGCGACGAACTGTCTGGGAAGTGATTACATTATCTATTTCTGATTATAAAGCAGCAAACTGACCTGACTTTTCCAAGAGTCACTAAAACTGTTTATTCTGGTAGCTTTGGATAGAGTTATTGCAAAAATTAAAAGAAAAAATTATATTATACAATATCCCACAATTACTGAAAAACAATCCTCCCTTTGGTATTTATATATTTATTAAAGGTTTGCATAATTCCTGGTATCATCCGTTCTTTCAGATTTATTTTTTTTTTCGAGTTTTAAATGTCCTTTAAGCCTTAAAGTATTTTCCATAAGAAATAGAGATCGTTGCTTGGCTTTGGCCATTATTATTTGATATGAGTCTTCACTCTCTTTGGAAGTACAAAAAGTGTTTTGACCTATCTATGGATGTTTAGTGAGATGATTCGTGTTTTATATGAGCATAGAAAAAAACGATTAGAATTCTTTGTTAAAACTGAGCTGATAGTCATTGAATAAGACAAATAAACAAATATAGGTTTACGACAGCTACTAAAAACCTGGTAAATCCCCGTTTTGTTTTTAAATCTAAAAAGATTTTCCGCAATGAAAATAAATAAAATAATGTTGCTTTCATTAATATTCGAAACATTTGGTCATAAAGACAAGCAAAGGTTTTTTTGTGGCCCATCTGTGTTCATATTGTGGGACTACTATATATTCCATATGCCTTGGCAGGAACTGAACTGTCTGTCTGTCAACTATTCCGGCAATCTTTTACATAATTTAGATGAAAAGCCGCATTTGTTTTCAGATCTCTCTGACATGCTACACAGGATGATATATTATGGCAGATGTTTTCTGCATTTTTATCGTGACTTTGTTGTGCGAGCACGCTTGCTTGCCTCATGTTTATTCCTGCTCGTATATAAGTTTTTAGCACATACTGCTATTTGGGTCTGCAGTTCTGTTTGTTTTCTTTACGAGCGCAATTTCCATATTGGGTCAAGGCAGCCCCTGCAGCTGTTAGTGTGTCATATATTAAGATAAATGCCTGCGGTGTAGAGAATTTCGTTTGCAGCTTCATTTCACGAGTAAATTAAATTCTGAGCAAAATAGTGTTCAATTTAGACTACAAAAACGGAAGAAAATAAGAATTTCTACTAACTTTGAACTTTTAAAAACCTATTAATTAAAATGTATACGGAAATGTAAAGCAACTGGCTTGCTTAACGATTTTAAATATTATTCACAATCTACAGTTATTATGAATATATATTTGGAATTTAAAAAGTTTTGATCAGACATACAAATAATTTGCCATACTTTAGAACTAGGCTTTGAATAACTAGAATTTCACTTGAAGAGCAAAAAAAATTTTAGTATTGAAATCGTATTACATTCATTAATTGGAACATCATTAAAAAATTTGAATGATTAAAAAAAAAGAATGTTAATAATATGAACCTATTTTGGCAGATAAGGGTAATATTTTTTTTAAATGTTATTAGAAATTTCACCGAAAT